AAAATCCTCCCTGGAAGTGAAAGCAGCAGTAGTGGGGAGGGACTGAGCTATCTGCCTGGCTAAGCATCTGCTCCATTATGTTGTTGCACAGGAACAGTTTCACAGCCCTCAATGTAGGTTGTTTATCATTTAACTTGGACATAGGCCTGGCCTAATTACAGAACTCAGTTTCAGCCCTTTGAATCCTGCTTAGCCTGAAGCAGACTCTGGTAATGGTTAGTTTTCAGTCCATTAGATTCAATTTCCCCACCTGAAAAATGGGTAAAACATGGAACAGACCCCAGAGACCCCTGAGGTGTTCAGTGCCGTCACTGGATGGACACAAAAACATAGATGACCAATGGAACAGCCACGTTTCTAGAAAAACTCAGTTCCTTGAAAAGAAAATCAAGCAGTGAAGCTGCTTTCCTTAGGCCACATCCACAGGGATGAAACCTCTCCAGTATCCCAGAGTGAGAGCATGGTGAAGCAGAGGTGAGCAAAACACTGAGGGAACAGCTCCCAGAGAAGAAATCCCAGTGGCAAGGCTCCCTTTGGCTCATTTCCCATCTAAACTGTGCTGGGGTTGAATCTGTGGCAGGTTCTGTGTGTCATCTGTCAGCACACATGGCAGGTAGCCAAGTGCTTCCAGTTCCAGCTTTGCTGTGCTTTTCTTGGACACCTGACTTTTCTGGTGCCACGGTTAGACCAAGATCCCCATTCCCACTTAAAGGAAATTACCACTACTCTGAGTGGGAAAAAAGGAGGCTCAGAAAAGCAGGCAAGTAAGTGGTGTTCAAATCCTGGCCAAGGCCCAGTAAAAATTCCAGTGCCTTCAACAATGGAGATTTCACTCTTTTTGAATTGTTTGGCTTCTTTTAATCTTAAGGGATTAAATGACTATTTTATGTACCAACCTTAGTGAAAGAACCATAAAATAATTCAAAACAGCAATTAGCTACACCTAGTAAAAAAGCAGGACTAAAATCAAAAGCACAATATGGTAAGGACTCCTTCCCTGAAATGCAGCATTGCTCAGACACACTGTTCTCCACAAAAATGTAGAACTCATGTAACTTTCAGATGTAGCTGTCAAAGAAATATAAATTCAGTCGTAGGCTTTCAGTATAGTGTACCAAAGGAAATCTGCTTCTAGGAATTTACATAATGAACCTTGTGTTTCAATTAAAATCAATTTTTAATAACTGACCTTGTTTCCAAAAGAATTTTAAGTTCAGACTTCAAACACTGATAAAAAAGTCTTGCATTTGGTGGACATGAAATAACTTTACCAAAATGAGAAAAATACAATGCATGTAAGTAAACTGGAAAAAAAAGTTTCAAAATTCATTTCTTGTCCAACATTTTCCTTCAGCTTCGTTATGCAGAGGAGAGTTTGCTTTCTTGCTCTCAGGACTTGCTACAGAGGAGGAATTTAAGTGCTGGGGAAGGGAGAGTGGATTTCAGCACAAGTGCTGCCAGCCTGATTTGGGGTGGGAATTTTTTTCTTAAAAATACTGTCATCTGTTCTGCATTGTGTGTGTTTCACCCCAGTGTAAAATTACAGTGGTCAGAATAATTCTGAATTCCTTTTGCAATGGCAGCCAAGTACTATTGCTCACAGGACAGGTAAAGAAAGAAATGTCAAGGGATGTTTTTCCTACAGCCTTTAATGAGTTATTGTCTTAACTTACACAGACCTGTAAAATCTCAAGGCCGGGACATTGCATCTCCATGGAAAATGCTGATAGAGCAAAAGTGAAGTTAGGCAAAAATAAAGCAGGTTTTAGTTTGGGGTTGGTTGGTTTGTTTGTTTCACCAGTGAATCTTTATGTACCGCTCGCTGTGCATTGAAGAGTTTGCAGCTACATCTCTCAAAGTGAAATGGACTTAAACGCTCCATGAATATTTTATCAGGCTTTTATTTATGCCATGTTTCATTTCTTCAGTTTTCCTAGATATGAGACCTTGAAGAGCCGGCAGAATATCTGAGATAAAAGCATTCAAGTGAATACAGTTCTTGAGTACATCAGTTTTATAGAACAGATTTCCACCAAACTATGCAGTGTTACTGGCATTGAGGTAGAAAAACAACTGCTCTCTAAAGCCAAAAAAAGAGGAAATTAAATGTATGGCCAGATTATTATCATCTGTAGTACACATCTAAAAACATCTAAAAGCTTCTCCAAAATTTTGAGTGCAGTTAATACCCCATCCACCCCAACACAACCTTCCTCTTTGGAAGACAAATGCGAGATGCATCAGAAAGGTGAAGGGCCAGGTAAACACAGGGACACAGCCAATGCTGTGGGCAGCCAGCCTAAAGGGCAGCATCAACTGAGTGTCCTGCACCTCAGTGCCTGTTCTGAGTCAGCCCAGCCCCAGGTAATGCAGCAGAAGGGCCCTTGGTGGGCCCTAGGTCAGTGCCTTGCAGCAGGGACACACAGAGCTGTTCCTCGCAGCCTGCACGGCTCTTTGTGCCTCAGGGCATCCTTTGTAGAATTTTAGTGCTCTGGCAGAGGTTCAGTTCCCCTGGCGTGGCAAGGGGCAGGGGAATTCTGCCTCTTGGAACAGCTCTGCAGTTGGGTTGGAGTCAGGCTGTGGCTCTCCAGCATTTGGAGTGCTGCAGTTGGCAGCTGTCCCCTGGCAGACCTCGAGGCTGACACGGCTGCACGCTGCGTTCAGGTACAGCCTCACCAAAACTGGGCACCCCTGAAGGGTTTTGCTGCTTACAGTAGATACCTATGATTATAGTTTAGAAAACAATAAAAGTGCAGGTGTTGTGATCTCAGGGGTGGGGTGAAGGAGCCCTAGGCTGTTGCACAGCCCATTTGTGGAAGAAGCCACAGGGGCAGAAGGAGGAGGTAACTGTTGAGTTTCCACAGGAGAGGCAAGGCCAGCTAAGTTCTGCTCACCTCAGCACTCTCCATGTTCCACACTACACACACTGAGGTCACAATAAAGAACAGCTGAAGCTTTGTAGCATCTTGCCTGGATGCTACCAGTTTCTTCAATAAGCTTTTTCCCTGCCATGCAAACAAGAATTTCTTTGGTGCCCAACCTGCTACCCTCTGTCACCCAGCAACTTCAGAATGGTGGAGCAGTTACACACACTGCAGTCACTGGGAGACTTCAGGGAAGAAGGAAGCTTCCTCTGAAGCCCATTACCATCTGCCAGAGAACCAAAACCATCTTTTTTTTTTTTTTTTGTCCAAGCAGCTTCATAGCAGTGTTACTATGCCAGTGCTGGACTGTTAGGATAGGGGGGAAAAAAAAGCTATTCAAATCTTTCAAGAAGCTGTCAGAATTATGGTGTTGTCAGCTGCTCTAGATAGCAACAGATAATTGAAATTTCGTGTGTGTGTGTGTGTGTGTGCAAGCAGAGTTGTGTCTGTGTATAACCAGTCCTCAGGTTAGCATGAAAGGAAGAAGTTCCTAGGAAGCTGTGTCTCCTCCTGCTCCAGGAAACGCTGTGTGACAGCATCCAGCAGTGAGCTGTGGGACAGGAACTCTGAGCAGAACCTTCCCCACAGCCTGCAGCCTTGGGAAGTGGCTTGTTTCACATGTGTAAGTGTATAAAGGAGTGTTTGAAATTTGGGGCTCAGCACGTGCACTGAAGTTCACAGGGCAAGGCTGCCGAGGGGCTGGGCAGCCCGGCTCAGTGATTCAGCTCCCAAACACACCCAGGTGTCCTCTGATGGCAGCAGGGCCCTGCAGACACCACAGGGCTGCTGCAGACTGGCAGCCCTTTCTAGAAAGTTCACATGCTGCAGCATGGTAGATTTTACACCTTTTCTTGGGGAATTGAGATAATTTCAGTTTGCCATCATATGTGTGCATTAAACTGGTTATCTTAACTTTTTAAAAATTTTTGGTTTTTTGCATTTTCAGAGAGCAGCAGTGTGTGTTGTATTAATTGGAAGATTCTTCTGCCAGTTCAGAGATGTTTCCAAATTGCAACTAAATCCAGCCTCTTGGCTGAATTTTTTATTTCTGCCTTATTGGTATTTGTGTTACACAATCAGAATGAAGACAGGCAATAATAATACACCTCTCTCACCTGATCAGTTTGTTTGATCTGGCAAAGGGAGAAGTCCTCAAACCTCTCCTAATAACCCCATTTGTAAATCCGTACCTTGCCCAAGGCTCTGGGGTTGGGCTAGATGGCAAAGGAAAGGATCACTCTGCCACTAAACCCACAGAGAGCCCTTCAGAGAACTGGCTTCAGTGCTTTTACACAAATGATTCAGCAAAGGGGATGTTTAGAAGGTGAAGTGTGGAGGCTCTCCCATTTTGAAGAGTGATCCTACTGTTTCTCCATCCCAGCCATGGAGAGCTTCCCCAGTGCTCCTGTTTGCTGTCCCTGAGCAGTGACAGGGGACACCCCTGCTGTGGCACTGCTGTGGCTGTGCTGGGTGCTGGGGAAGGGGATGGGCTGTGTTTGCTCTGCATCCTGCCCTTGGGTGGCACTCCCCACAGTCACTGGGATTTCTGTGGGTTATCCCATTTTCAATACCCCATACACATCTTGGCTGCTGAGAGCAGGTTCAGCAGCTCTGCCAGAGCTAGAGGCAAACACTCCAGAGAATCCCAGCACTGCTCCTGAGCACCCCTGGGAGCCTGGAATGGGGCAGGAGCAGCTGGAGGCCTCACCTAGTGCTGAAACAAAGGAAGCAAGTGGTCACAGTTTCACAGCTCTTCTTCAAGTTGGTTTCATCACCCATCAGTAGTAATTGCAATAGGACCCCGCAGACAAGCATCATGAATTCCTGTTACAGAAAAAAAAACCAATTAGCATTATCTTCCAAAGCTTTTATCTGTTCCACCAGCATGAATTTCCATACATCACAATAAATCTGAGCAGCAAAGCATGAGCACAGTGATCAAACACACAAAAGGAAAATGTGGGAATTATGGTTTAGTCTCTGGTGGTCTTACTTTTTAACTGGTGTTTATTCCTGTGCCTACTGTGGTTAAAAGCACACTGACTTCTAGGCTGGTGTTTCTGTTTCCTCTTACAGCTGGACAGTGTCACTTCACTGATTCAGGCCGCCAAAAACTTAATGAATTCTGTGGTGCAGACAGTGAAGATGTCCTATATTGCATCCACAAAGATCATCAAGATTCAGAGTCCTACTGGCCCACGCCATCCAGTTGTGATGTGGAGAATGAAGGCTCCAGAGAAGAAGCCCCTGATTAAAAGGGAGAAGCCAGAAGAAATCTATGCTGCTGTCAGAAAAGGTTCTGCCAAGAAGAGAATCCATCCTGTGCAAGTCATGAGTGAATTCAGAGGCAGAGAAATAGTCTAATATTTTGCCACTATGTTTTCTTACCTTGAATTTCCCATGATTTTTCATCTTTTCCCCTGCTTACTTAATAATTATATATGTCAATGTTTTGCTCTAAATTTGTAAGATAACACTTGCTTGAATGCTTTGAAAATGCTGTTGGATTAGTTAGAAGCACACAGTTGGAAATAATGCTGGTTCTCCTGCAGTGGGGAGGTGAGGTGGCCCCACTGTAGTGGGTCTGGGTGTGACACAGGCATTTCTGCTGCTGGGCCAGGCCCTGAGGGGCACCTGTGACCAGCTCACACCCACCCAAACCTGGGTCCAGACTGCAGCATCCTTGGCCAAGACCGTGCCTTGGAAATGTAAGCTTGAAAATGTTTGATGAAACACACAGAGTGTTGGAACAACGTGGATGTAACAATGCAGTAAAGAAAGCACTGACTGCAGGCCAGCAGGGGTGACAGCTTTTTAGAAGGCCTTTGGAAACATGACCAGGAATCTGTGTTCTGCTCCCTGCTCTCTTCTGTGAGCCCCAATAAACCTGCTGGCTCTTGTATTTGGCAGTTCAGATAAGTCAGACATTAACAATAAAAAAACTTTCCTATGGCTGCACAAAAGAAGAACTTTGAAATAAATCATTATTCTGAGTGTGTGAAATACACATATCTTGAATCTTAGAATGGGGTGACTTTTCCAAAGCAACTGTAAGGAATTAAGTTACTTCTGACAGACTTGCTAAATGCAGGACTCTGCTGGTGAGCACTGAATGGCTGCACTCAAAGTGTGTCAGGAAGGTAAATCCTGCTAGTCCAGACCTCTGCAATGTGCTTAAGAAAAACTAGTTTTTTCTAAATACTTTTGAATCTGAAATCCACTTCGACTAATTTTTTTAGAAGGCTCTAACTTGCCTTTTTGCCAAGTCATGAATTCTTCCCAGACTACATTTGTTACTCAAGATGTCTTTGCTTGGCCATTCCGTAGATCCTTTATCATGGCTTCTACATTTGCCAAGATGAAAGGGCTCCCTCAGAAGCCAGAGCTCCCTGTGTCACTGACTGCCACTCTGGGATGGCTCCACATTCTGGGCCACTGCTCCAGGTCATTTATTACCATTCTTGCCCAGCAGTGCCTGACCCAGCCCAGTGTGGGCAGCAGGAATAGCCCTGAACTGTGCCTTTCCTCTTGGGGCTGCCCTTTGGTAAGCTCAGCACACTGGGGCAGGGTAATTTCTATAAAATCCTGTGAAACTACAGTGCTCATGAATTAAAAATTCTACTGGTCATTCTTCCACCTTCCCTAACCTTGCAATCAGTTAAATGGAAACAAAAGGAGAAGTTTGGAAGAAAATCACCTTTTTCCAACTCCAGTTCCCTCCAGCATGTTTGCAGCAAGATGTCAGTACTTGTCTCCTGGCTTTGCTGCTCCTCCCAGGGCTCCAGAGGCAGCAGGTAAGCTGGCACAGCCTTGGGGGCTGCTCTGGGGCTGGGACTGTCCTGAAACCCTCCTGGCTCCAGGTCACAGCTTGATCCTGGTCCCCTTGATGTCAAATGTTTGTAACTAATGCCTTGGCACCACATTGTTAATAAAAAAGCATGTACACCCCGAGAAGCTGCTGTCAGTGCTGTGGGATTTTTTCAGTGTGTCTGAAGTTCCAGGCCTGCCAGGTATGCTCACAGAAGCCTTCCTTCCAGCACACTGTGTGTGCTCCATTAGCTGCTCTACACGAGAGGTTTTCCAGCACCAGTATCACTAAAGCACATTTTACTGCTTCATTTCCTTCCTTCATGCTCCTTCCTGCACTGCCAGCCTGTGTTCCTTCCCTGGCCATGCTCAGTAGCCAGTTTGATCTCAACACAGCAATTCATTACACAAAAAACACCCTCTAAGTGAACAAGGAATTTAAAACCCACTGCAGGCTGTTGAGAAGAGCCAAAGAGCAATAATCACATTTAGACTAAATTTATCTTGGGTTAAATTCAATCCCAAGGGAAAAAGTTTACTCCTGGCTAAGGAGGCAAAGGGTAAGAAGTCCTGGAGCTGTAAAAAGCCCAGCTCATCACCCTTCAGCCAGTCTGGGAAGCAGGGAACCACCACCTACTTCCCTGCCACGAGGGAGAATTCTGAAGGAGGACCAACTGCTCAGTGTTATTCCAAGCAGCTCCTCATTCTTCCTCTGACCACTCCGGCTGTTCGTCCCTGCACGGTCACACGTAGGATAGCTCTGGGACAGCCCGCGCTCCAAAGGACGAGTCTGACTCTTCAGATTTTCAGTCTTCGAATTGTTTATTATTTCTTATCTACAAAATTTTCTTCCAGCCTGACGGAGGTCTGACCAGCAAGGCAGCCAAGGGCACTCTGTCCTCCCACTGGGCAGTCATCTATTTTTATACTAAAAACTACGTACATCATATTTACCTTTATTTCCCAATACCTTTCACCCATATGAGCAAGTGCACCTTCACCAAGAACCAATCCCAAAGTGCCAACATCACCACAGAAAATGGATGACAAGAAGACAGAAGAAGGACAAGACACGCCCTGATCCCTCCATCTTGTCTCCATAACCCCCCCGTACCAAAACCCTAAAATCCCTATTTCCACCCTGTAAATACATCATTCTTACACCATTCATCCCCAAGTGACTCTCATGTCCTCATACAGGTGGCACATCCCGTGCAGGGTCAAAATCCAACCACCAAGCATTCCAGGATTTCTGAGCCCCCCAAGGGTTGTCTCGGTAACTCTGGACATCGGGAGTGATGTGCTGAGTTCCCACATTCCTCCATCTCCTCATTCCCTGCCAGCCCAGCTTTCAGAGGGCAGCTTCTCCCCCAGTTCCTGCCTGCCCTCACACTGCTGCTCTCAGCCTGGCAGAGCTGCAGCTTTCTCACCTCAGATTATTCCATTAGCCTGCCTTGGCCTCTCCCCATTACCACATCATGGAGCACGGTGTGATGGATGACTGAAGGCAATTTTATATTAAAAATTTTCACTAGAGCACTAGAAAATGGGAATCCCATTGCTGAAGCCCATTCGTTTGAGAGGACAGGTCTGCATCATTTCCATGAATCCCAAAGCTGTTGAATTTTTATTTTTTTTTTAATAAACAGCCAATGTGCTTTTTCTCCCAACATAGCCTGGTACCACTAGGGAAGCTCTGTAGCTGCATCTCTACTAAAGAACACAACGAAGCAGCTTGAGATCGGGCCAGGCATGGTGTTTTAAAGGTCCTGCAGTGATTTTTGAGAGGCTTGTGTCCTTTATTCTCTGTGAGCCTGCAGCTTGGAGCATTTGAGAAAAGTATGTCGAAACAGAAAGTTCTTTCATGATACAGAAAGTTCTTTCACAGAACAAAAACACTCATCTGGTATTGTCCAGTAGAGGCAATTTAGCACATGAGTAGAGTAATTAAATAATAATTAAAGATAAAGCAGATCACTCTCTCTCTCCCCAAGGTCATCACTGGGCTTGGGTTTTGCACAACAACTTCTTGAAGGGAAGAAATGCATGGGCAGTGTTAATTACAAAGCCATGGATTTGGTGTTGCTGCACTGAAAAAACGCACCTTTCAAATGATAAACCACAACTCACTGGAAACTTTCTTGGCATAAAGAAAAAATACATCCAAAGCAGAAATGGCAAACAAACCATGAACATACTTCAAAGCCCCTGATGTCTCTCATCAACAGGAGGAATGTGCTGCTATGGCCCAAGGAACTGGAAGCTGAGGAACTAATTTTTGGCTCCAGCCTAAAGCAATAGTTAAGATGAAAGTTTGCACTGCAAGAGGTGGATCTAACAGTTTTAAGGAGCTTTTTACAGGATAGGAAATATTCACATTTTACTTCCTGATGGTGAAAATGACTATGTTAAAGCAGGCTGGAGACCACAGAGATGCCCTGTACAGGGTGATGTTTCCTCTCAACCCTCACATCTTTTATCAGCCTGGTCATTTTAGAGCCATTGGCTTTTCTGCTGCAGTTTTCAGCTTCCTTCACAGAAGGCAGCAGCTGCCAACACCCAGAGCTCAGGGTCTGTGGGTGAGGCACTGCTCTTTCCAGGGGCTAAAGGGTTAAAGGAGCTCCCTGCTCCAGCAAGCCTCTGTCCCTGGGCTGCCTCGTGCCCAGTTATCCTCACTGGATGGAAACAGGACAGGACATTGCTCCCTCACTTTGTGCCATTCTCAACCAGCCAGCGTGGCTGAGAGATCAGGTGAAACTTTCCTGGTGGATTTTTAGCTTCTCTGGTGGAGGAAGAGTCATTTAAAGCAATGATTTCTCCAGGAAAGCAGAATCTCCCTGGAGTAAAGGCTTTCCAAAAAGGACAAAACAGCAAAAGGCTCTTTTCTGCCTTCCACTCCCTCTACAAACCCAGTCTTGTCCTCTCAGACATCACTGAGGGTTGGGGCTTTGCAGCTTGCTGGGGGTGTGATCCTTAGAACCTCAAATGAAAATAAGCAAATAAAACAACCAGTGCTGTCAGGAAGGTTTGCATTGGTTTCTCTAAGAGAACATCTGGGTGCATATTGCACAATTTCTATTTAGCTCATCTGCACTTAGGAGCAAGAAAAGAAGATTAGAGCTCTGCTACTTCATGTCTTGGGTACAAATTCAGAGGGGAAACATAGGTTAGATATGGAGAAGGAATTCTTTACTGTGAGAGTGGGCACCCAGGGTGCCCTTGATCCCTGCAAGTGTCCAAGGCCAGGCTGGGACAGTGTTGGACAGGATGGTCTTCAAGGTCCACTCCAACCCCTCAGCTTTCTGTGATTCTGTGTGGATTACACAGGTGCCACAGACTTCATACAGAAACAGCAAACACAGACAGGCAGACCGCAAGCACACACTGCAAACCACCTGCCCTCAATGTGCAAACCTCAGTGCTTGGGGGATCTTTGCCCTTGGCTGACATAAAATAACCCTCTCTTATTTATCTATTGATATAATTACATAATTTACCTGTTATGTGTTTTATATCTATTACAACACACATTAGTAATGTATGTGTTATAATAGTCACAAAATACAAATAACATAAATCAATGCAATTATTTTAATAGAATTAAATATACAGATATATTTATAGTTAAATGTATTTCTATAATTACATAATATTTAGTTACTGATAAACTGAAGTTGTTAGAATTCAGAGCAAGTACGCAGAAGCACATGGAGGCTTCACTTTATAAAGGTGCAGCATCTCAGACACTCAGCCTCAATTTTCTGCTGTTGAATTACTCTGACAGGGAAAAAATGGCTGCATCCTATGGCAAAAGTATAGCAACTGCATGTAGTCACTCAGAAAGCAAACTGGAACTTAAGCCCCCAGCAGTTAAAAATAAGCACAGAACAATTATGTCTGCAAACCTTTGAAGAGTTTGAATAGGATATTCATACCTATTGTAGTATAAAAAGAAAGGGAAATGAGGTAACTTTTTGGCTCAGGATGAGCTCTGTTATCACTGAAATAATTTCTGTCTAGCTGCAAACGTTACACAAGCCAATATAATTTCAAGACAAGTACTTGTTATGTTAACAAGAATGACTAAGATGGTTCACTTCCCCAGCATCCTGTCCTTCACCTACTCCTCCTTATTCATCCCCTGGAAGAACCTCGGAAGAAATTCATTACAGGGCTCTGGAATGAATGCAGCATATACAAATGTACATTCCAGCAACTGAACCCATCCTGGAGATTCCATCTCCAGCAGTTACTGTGAATTAAACTCACTCATAATCTTAGATAAAAATAAGCAGAGTATAGACAACCCTGTCACTGGAATGAAATTCAAGACTCAAACCTGCCAAACTATTCCGTGTTCACTCCTCTTGTCCCAGGCTGTCTCTACTTGATTTTGCTTTTTTAGCTTGTATGTAAGACGCTGCCTGCAATAGATATTCCCAGATTTACATCTCACAATGAAATGGGTTCAGTCTGTGATTAAAACAGAAGTTTGGTGTTTTTGAAATCCAGTCACCAGCCAAACTGTTACAATTCCCTGGAGCTGGGTAT